TGCTTCAATACTGGAAGATTACCCTTAGAAAAATCTGAATTTCAGTGTCCCCCCCTCAAAGAAAACAGAAATTCTGCCAATGTTGGGTGTAGTACGATTAATAAAAACTCAGAGACAGATATTAGGGTTCAACCTGAAGGTCAGAAAAGCAAAACAGCCAGCCACTAGCTCTTACCTTTACCTCAGTCTGAAAATGGCGATCCTGCCTCCTGGAACCCTCAGAATGAGACTGCGTGTGAGAGCTGGCTCCTCCCATCTTATATTCCTCTCTAGGGCTGGGATTGAAGGCTTGCACCACTCCTGGCCGTTTCTATGGCAAACTAGTGTGGCTACTGGGATTAAAGGCATGGGTTACCACTGCCTGCTCTGTAAGGCTGACCAGTCCAGCTGTTTTACTCTCTGATCTTTAGGCGAGCTTTATTTATTAAAAGACAAATGAAATATCACTACAGTTGGGCCCTTGTTTTTTTTTTTAATGTAATAATTAGTTGAACCTGAAGAAATTTGGTCTTTGTTGGCTGAACATCTCTCCAGATTCTTCCACTCTCTGATAAGTCCCGGAGTCCGGATGAAGGCTAAGTGTACTTAGTGTCTCGCCTTGCCTGCCCTGACACAGCCCCAGCCTTCTTTATTCACTCGGTGCCTGTCTCACTGGCCATTGGCTTCCTCACCAAGCCAACGAGAAGCCATCTCTTCGAAGTCCTATCCAGCCTCAGAGAAGACATTAAACAGGATCTGTCAACTATCTGGAGTCAAAAGGTTTAACAGAATCAAGCCTATAAACACACACACACACACACACACACACCACCGCCACGCCCAGCTTTTCCATAGACGAAGGTTGGCAACGTCATTCTCTATACGTCCTGCCCGCACCGTGTGCTTTGTGCTTCCAGGATTTGGCTACAGCTATTTCATGCCAGCCAGCCGAAAGCTTGGCCCAGGAGTGCCCTGGTGAAGTGATCCATGACGAAGACACTAAAGTCGCTGATGTGGCCCTTCTGTTTCATAGTTTTATACAACTCGTCATTACTTAGAATCCTATCCGATCTCTGGAAGCTCCGTTTGATGGTGACCCTAACCTGTGCACCAGAACAAATCCTCCTCCTTTCCCCAGTCCACCGGAAAGGCCGCCACTGTGATGAGAAAAGCTAAGTCACGCAGGCCTCAGTATTTGCTGATAGGGTTCGCAGGCGTGATGTTTGCCTTCTCCTTGGAACACAGTCCTTTTGAGAGCTCGACACTGTGCACTAGTTACCTAAACTATCCTCTAGCTATTGTAATTGTGAGTTATCTGAATGAATCTAAAGCATATCTACTGTTCTATACAGTTCCCCCCCACCCACCCCCACCACCACTGTAAATGGCCAAATAGCACAGGAGACCTAAGAGAGAGAAACTGGGAGACTCATGGGAACAATGACAGCGGTGGAGACCTGGGGGTCCCCTGGGAGACTCGGGCGGCTCTCACCTTCATTATCTGAGGTCACCAAGTCTGCTAACAGTTTTCTTACCTGCTTCTGCTCAAGCTTAAGAATTTTTTTTTAAAGTACGTCATATAACAGAGTTTGTTGGTTTGCTTAGGGGAGGTTTTCCCTGCACAGCCAGGCTGGCCTCCAATGTGCAATCCTCCTGCCTCATCCTCCCAAATACTGGTTTGAGAGGTGTCAGTTACCATGCCTACTTCCGTGCAACAGGTTTAAAGGGAACAAGGACACTGAAATATGTAACTGAATGTATAGAATGACATCAGTCAGAATGATGGGGGTGGGAACGCTGAGAAGCGACTGCAGGACCCAGGCCCAACACTTAACAGTATTAATAAAAGTCAACATTTATGACTGCGCCAACGATGCAATGCAATAACTCAAGGGAGAGGCTCTGAAGGTGGCAAATCAGGTTCATATGTTTGGTTGACTTAGTTTCTTCTTTTTGATACTGTTTTCCATTGTGTGTACGTATGTGTCTGCATGCATGACTGGGGGTGCCCATGGAGGTCAGAGAGTCCTATCTGTCCCCTTGGAGGTGGAGTTGCGGGCAGTTGGGCGCCACCTGATGTGGGGGCCGGAAACTGAACGTGGGTCCTGTGCAAGGGGAGCACATGCTAACTCCCGAGCCATCTCTCCAGTCCCAAGATCAACCTATCAAAATCCTCAGTCTAAAATCAAAACAGTGCAAAAACGGCGTGGCTCTCTTGACTGCAGGCTTCAGGAGCGTTCATGGTTACTAGCATTACAAACAAGGGAAGCCGAGAGAAACTGCTCTCACTCCACTGGCCCAGGAAGCTAAAGATAGGTTCCTGCTGAGCACAACTCCACCATGACGTCATAAAATACAGGTCCAGGGAAAAGCACAGCTGAATGTGCATCATTGTTGGAGTCAACCACACTATCTGTTTCTTCGCTCTCCCCGCCAGTCACGTGGATGGGAAGCAGACACTGAGATTTGGGTCATTTGCTTAGGGTAGTGGTAACTCACAAAACCAAACTGAAAGCCACAAACTTAGGCGAGGACCCAGATTGTTGGGGCCCGTCCTAAGGGCAGTATTCAGCCACACTTCAATGTCTTGGGCTTGGGTATGGTGTTTGGCCCCATCTCACCTCCCAGCATCATCTAGTATAAATTCCAGGGTCCAGCTGCTTCCAGAGGCTGTGGTCCTATGCACGTAGCCGACCAGCCCCTATGTGTGCTAGGCTCTGGTTCAGTGGGAACTCCTTCCCACCAGGAAGATCCTCTTCTCACTCCAGTCTCAATGAAGAGCCTGCCCCCACCACAGAACTCTTCCACTCACAACCCCAGATGAACTGCTTTTCTTACTATTCAATACTAGTACACTGCTGGTACGTCTGCCCTTGAACTCCTCCTTCTGGGCCATCTCACAGGACACATTACAGGGAAGAATGCTGTCTATCCTACCGGACTCAACAGAGGGCATGCCTTCTATTTTAAATTTTAGACTCAATAATAAATTATAGCTTAACTCTTCCGTCCACAAAAATCATTTAGTGTCTACTGAAAAACTAAACATAGGCACTAGCTGGCTTAGAATACCTGCTTTTCTTCCTTTACAATTTTTAATTAAAACTGAGATATTTATTGCTAGGGGAGTCTTTTCCAGGAAACTGCAATCCCTCAAGCAAAACATTGATTCCTGTCACTGCGGCCCCCACAAATTCTCCACACAACTATAGTCTCTCAGTAAACATTGGGGGACATTTCAATGTAGAAAAAGACCACAAAAAATGGAGGGCTCAAAAGAGGGGATGAAATACGAACGAGAAATCCGATCTCATCTGTCTAAACATCAGCCTCTCGGTCTATTCCAGCGGTTCTCAACCTGTGGATCAAAACCCCTAGGGGGGCTGAATGACCCTTTCACAGGGGTCACACATCCTGTATATCAGTTATTTCCATTATGATTCATAACAGTAGCAAAACAACAGTTACGAAGTAGCAACGAAATGATTTTATAAGGTTAGGAGGGGGTCACTACAACATGAGGAACTGTGTTAAAGGGTCGCAACATTAGGAATGTTGAGAACCCCTGGTTTAGACAGTGTCCAGGTCTATCTGAAGCCAAGGACACCTTTTCTGACATTCAGACACTAGCCACTGCCCACCGTCATAGCTAGTATTGTAGAGCAGCAACGACAACATTAAGAAGCCAGTCAAGAGCTCCTAATGTCTTATTTATCACTTTATTACACACTTGCCCTTCCCATAGACCCTTCCTTAGAGATGTGAAGGACGCTTGCCACTCCACATCACCTTATCACACCCCTGCCCTTCCCGCAGACGCTTCCTCGGAGACGGGAAGGCTGCCTGCCTCTCCGCTTACCCGAGAAGTCTGTTCTTTGGACATGTACCGGTGGTGCTGCTTTACACGTTTTTGCCAGTGTGCAGGTGGAACGATTTTCTTGTCTAATTTCTGTCTGCTTGTTGAAGGAAACTCTGGGTACCAGCGCCACTCCTGGCACTTACACAGGGTCCAACTGAGGCTGGACCCAGCATGAACATTCTTTCTTTCCTCTTCACCCTCTTTAGCGTCTGTTACCTGAGAACATCTAAGCTGTTTCTGCTCTGGTCTAGGTGAACATGACAATCTAGGCAATTTAAGATATCTAAATATTACGACTGAACTGTAGCCCATGAGACGGGTCCAGTGAGGTTATTAGGATAGTAACATAAATAATAACATGTAAATTGTTGTGCTGCATACACCTGCCATCCCCAAGAAAGAGGTTTTTATCCCGACTTTGATGGTCAAGTTCAACAGCTTGCTGCCCTCTCCAATACTTCGGTTCACTGCTAAAACCAAAGCAGGTTACCTAGGCGAACCAGAGCCGAGGCATGAGCACTAAGATCCTTCCAACTTTTGTTCCTCTGAACTTCCAGGTGGCGGAGGAGCTGCCTGGCAGCTAGGCTCCTGAACTCTGGAGCGCAGCCCGGGTGCTGCACTGCCTGGCGCCCGGCAGGATCCACCCGCACCAGGCGCTGCTGTCCTTACAGTTAGACGCACTCTGAGCCCCAATTGGATTTCCCCCAGCACCTGAGCCCACCTCTACTGGCGCTGCCTTTTGGCAAGTGAGGAGTGAGGACCCACCTGGGTCGCACGCCTCTTTCTGAACTGCCACCAACACCTGCAGAAGGTATCCTAGCAGACTCATGGCAGGGGGGTTCCCGTAAATCTCCCAGATCTCATCCCCTTGCTCCCCCTACTCCACTACTCCAGGCAAAATGTCCTCAGATTCCTGGAAGAGTTAAGTAAAGGCAAGCACTCTTTTTTCTTTCTTTCTTTCTTTTGTTCTTTTTTTAAAGGGGGAGGGGTGCAGAGCACGCTGCGGCGTTCTCAGGGCACTCTCAGTCCGGGGCAGACAGCCGGACCAGAAGCCGGCCGCCAGCTGTGCACCCGCGGGTGACAGCGCCGCCTTCTCTCGCTGCAGTTTGCTGAGTAACAGATTTGCTCCGACCGGGACCTCCCCGGCTTCTAGGGCCTTTACCTGAGTCCCGGGCTCGGCTGGGGCCGCGGTTGCTGATCCCGGCCGTGCGCTGGGCGACCGGTCCCGCCGCGCGCGATCCACCGCCGCCGCCCTCAGCCCCAGGGACACAGGGATTGCAACCCTCCCGGCCGGCTCCACCTTCCAGCCCCCACCCCGGGAAGTCACTCCCGGGGTGGTCCCACTCGCCGCTCTCCTTTGCCGAGGCACCCTGGCCAGTCTGAACCGGTTGAGACTGCACGCCCGCTGGGGGAAGGAAGAGGAGGTGGAAGAGGAGGAGATGGAGGCGGAAAAGCTGGCTGTAGGGGCGCTGCGTCTACTCCGGTGGCTTCAGGCCACGCTAGGAGGAGGGAGGACTGGACTCGAGTCCCCTAGGCCCCCCAACCCAAGACTCCCCATGTACCCCCGCCGAGCACCGTGTGCATTTGCGAGTAGCCCGGGTCTGAACATGAACATAAGGGTCGCTTGCTCTCCCTGACTTCCCGGGGCCACTTGAGAGCCTCCTGGCCAAAGTTATACTGGTGGGCAGTGATCCCAGAGGAACGCGCCCTAAAACTTTGTAAATTCGGTACTCTGTGGCAGTGGAAAGTAAAGACGCCAAGGGCTTTCCTTTGTGTCAGCTCCGCGGGAAAGGAGGGCGCCCGGCAGGACTAAGACTAAGAGAAACTGGATGAGGATGGTCAGGTGTCCTGCATTTGTACCAGGCTAACTCTAACTTGTAGTACAGGACAACCGGCACGGGAGCTACCAGGCACTGCACTCCGCCCTGTCACAGACGCCCACCGCAGACAATCTCGGGCCTCCAATGGCTAACAAATGTGCGGACACCGCTCGCTCCAGGGATATGCCCGTGGCTTGTGCTCGCCCTCTGCCCCATGCGTGCACAGTTTGTCTGTTGGGATTCTTAAGAGGACAAGTCTAACAGCTAGAGAATTCATTCCCTTTACACCTGGCAAAGCCTGAGTTCTAACTTATACAAGGACTACCACCAGCTAAGTGAGTTTCCGCTAAACTGCCTAGACTTTTCCAGCTTATCTCCTTATCTATAATATCAGTGTGAGATTCTCAGAATCTTGCCTGCTTCCTGGAGTGTGCAAGAGTTGAGAATTCAGAAAAGGTAGAGGACCTGACCACACCTACCACCATGAGAAGATGGTTGGCTGTAGCCCTTCGCCCCTCTCTATTCAGGTTATGGGGAAGTCCCATCAAAAGCATGCCTGAGCCTGGAGGGAGCTTGCCATCCCCAGTACCCTATTATAAATAAGTCTACAAATAAGCTATTGTAACCACAGCACTGGAGAGGCTGAGCCTAAAACCTAATCAGAAAGCCCTCATCTCACATAGAGACCCTGATTTCAAAACCAAGGTGGATTGTTCTTAACACACACACACACACACACACACACACCATGAGTATCTCTAAATAGAAGAAAAATAGGGGAAATATGTCATAGCAACAACAGTCCAGCATGGTGACTCACACCCACACCCAATACAAAAGGCCAATCTCCAGGAGTTCAGGGTCACCCTGGGCTACATAGTAGTGAGTGCTAGGCCAGCCTGGGCTATGAGAAGCTTGTCAAAAATAAACACTACTGATTAAAAAGCCACTACACAGTGATGACAATGGGAGGGGATAGTACAAAAAAAAATGTGGAAGGAAAAAGAATGGAGACCATACTGTCAACGTCATAAAAACGTACTTGGGAGCCGGGCAATGGTGGCGCACGCCTTTAATCCCAGCACTCGGGAGGCAGAGGCAGGTGGATCTCTGTGAGTTCGAGACCAGCCTGGTCTACAGAGCTAGTTCCAGGACAGGCTCCAAAGCCACAGATAAACACTATCTTGAAAAACCGAAAGAAAAAAAAAACGTACTTGGGAATAAGAAAGAGGCTCAGTGTTTACACTGTACTGTGGTCTCCCTTGGGATGCCTTACAGTCACTCATGGTATTTCCAGCTGCCTGATAACCTATGAAAATTTCCCCTCCCTGCTTCAATAATACGTGTTTTGGATTGCTTTCCTTGGTTCGCACAGACCCTAGCCATCAGAGTGCAGATCTATGATCTCAACTGTTGACCAATCACTGTCTGTGAAACTGCACTTGGGAAATCCTACCTAGGAAAAGGGATGTTTGCATCCTCAGGTATGTGAACAGCTGAGGCCCAGTCTGTTCCCTCCGGCATCAAATGTTGCTTACAGGAATAAGCAGGTGGGTCCTCTGTGTCTACCCAGGTCAGTGCATACTTTTCCACGCAGGCTGAAAGAGTCTCCTTACCCAAAGGTAAGGTTTCTGCTTTAGCGTGAAGCTGGACCCTAATGGGCTAGACTCAAACAGTTGTAAGGCCTGGCTTGCTGAATGGCTGAGGTGGCTAGAAGGCTGCTTTAGTGCTTGGAGGCCAGCTCTGGGGGTAAAAGGCATGCCACCAGGATTCAATGTGAAAGCTGTCCCTGTGGCTTGAGGTTCTCTGTTCAGTCACACTCTGGTGGAACACTGAGGCCAGCAAGAGAACCCAGTGATCCAGGTCATCCCTGCCTTGTAGCTACAAATAGAACTTGACCCAGGGAAGCCCAAGGAGCCCCTCCCCCGCAACACTGCCTCTGAAAGCACAGAGAGACTGGTGGAAAGGAAACTAAAACCAAGTCTTCATACCTCCGTGTTTTCCCTCCCAGGGACAGGAAGTGCCAGGGCCTGCAGACAAAGCTGGGGCTCTGGGCCCAGAGGTCAATGCCATTTTAACCAGTCAGAAGGAGAGAAAATGGCAGGCCAGTATAGAAGCTGGATCTAAAAGGGCCTGCCTTGGCAAGAAAAGAAATTGGAAGCAGAGTGTTGAAAGGCATTCCAGCATAAGGTGATGCCCCAAACTGAAGGGTTTGTTCTTTGCCTAGGGTTCCTATCCCCACTAAACGTTTAGGAAAAGCTTTGTGCCCCACTTTTGGGAGAATAGGATGGGAACATTAACCTGACATTTGCTCCTTCTTGGTTCTCATCTCAGTGAAGAAGCAGAAACCAAATGGACAGGAATGTATCTGTGGGTGGGGAGGACACATTGGGCCAGCATGGGAATCACCCTGGTCCACCACTCGCCCTGCTGACAAAGGTCTCCTCGCAGTGAATCATTTCAAACCCAATCAAAAGGACCCACTCCTCAGTGGCTTTAGTCCAAAGCACACAGCTCTCATTGGTTAATAAGGGGCTGACTGGCCTATAGGTGGGCAGAAAGAGATTGGGCAGGAGAGCCAGACTAGGAGGACGCTGGGAAGGAGAAGGGTGGAGTCTGGGGAGTCACCATAGAGATGCAGAAGAAGCAGGAGATAAACATGCCATGTTGAAAGAAGGTACTGCCATGTGGCAGAGGGTAGATAAGAAATATGGGTTAATTTAAGTTGCAAGAGCTAGTTAGTAACAAGCCTAAGCTATTGGCCAAGCATTTGTAATTACTAATAAGTCTCTGTGTGGTTATAAGAGAAGTGGTTGGTGGGACAGAGCTGACTGGTGGTCTAGACAGAAAACTTCACCTATAGTAGGGGTGGGTCTTCTTTCAAAAAATATATTTTATTTTTATGTGTGTGTGTATGCATGTGTGCACTCATATACATGCATGCCTGTATGAACATGCAGGTGCCATGTAGGCCAGAGAAAGACATCAAGTCATTCTGGAGCTGGAGTTACAGATGGTTTGAGGATGGGTGCTGCTGGGACCTGAACGAGGGACCTTTGCAAGAGCCACACATGCCCTTCACCTCTGAGCCATTTCTCCAGCCCCATAGAGGAGACCTTGAGGTTACACTAGTCCCTAGTTCCAGTCGGCCATCTCTTCTTGTCTGCTGCCATATGAACAAACCCCTACCTGATGTTCCTCCCGCCACTGATGGAGCCCCCCCCCCCCGCCTGCCTGCAGCAATGGGCTAAAATCTCTCTGCAACTTTGAGCAATTGTTTTTGTTTGTATTCTGGTTACAGAGACATGAACACAAAAACCGATACAGAAAATAAGGCAGCAGAAAGTAAAATGAACTTCTCTGAGTTAGAGGGCATCAAAGTGACAAAGACAGGAGCCAACAAACAAACAAACAGACCATGCAGCGATATATATCATGTGACCTCCATGCTCACATGTTGCGCACACTCACGGCTTACCTCATGGAGCAAGATGCTGCCCTGTAAGCGTAGCCATTGCCACTTAGAGAAGCTGTGCTCATGGGCAAGAGGCCCTTAAGGCTGGACCTGTTGATGTCCCCTCATAGAAGAGGGATGAGAGGAGGCCATTAGATCCTCCTCTGTGATCCCAGTCACTCAATCCAGGCTGCATGTGGTTCTGTCCCAGCTGCCTGTGGGTGTTGGGAAATGCTAGTGTGTCCCGAGGAGAGGTTAGCTGAAGGGATGTCCATCTCTATAGTCGTGGGAAGTCATCACACTGGGGCCAGACTTCTCAATGATGCCATCATGCTGGGGCTATGCATATTCTGTAAGTAACCACTTAGCCACGCCCCATGTAAGTAAGCCCAAATGCTCACTGAGTCACCGGACTAGACCTGAGTCAAACCATTCCTTTGGTGCCTTATCTGGGGTAAGTCAATGCTTGCCCATGTCTCCCCAGGGAAGTTAATGTAACCTTCCAGGAGCCACTCCTTGGCACACAGTAGATCTCATAAGTGTACTGAAGAAGGCAAGATAAAATTCCTTCAAGTGTCTAGGATGGGTCAAGGCTCTTTCCCATATGGATTGCATACATTCAGCTGACATAACCCTACAGTACAGTTTTGTTAGATAACAGACTCAGAGCAAAGCGCTCATCTCCCAGAGGCGAGCTGCTAGGCTTGAATGTACCACAAGATCCAATTTCTTCTTGGGAAAATACAGGTGGAGTAGATGGATATTATTTAAAAATAAACATTAGACCAGTGAAGTGGATCTTTCTCCTCAACAGTGCGGTGCCAAGTTCTTCAAATGTGCCTCCCCCTCAGAACCAGGCTTCCATGCCTTATATAACACGTTGAGAGATTGCCAAGTACTTTCTCAGTTCAAAGTGTCAAGTTTTATGAGAGAGAGAGAGAGAGAGAGAGAGAGAGAGAGAGAGAGAGAGAACATGGCCTGTACTCTATACACAGACAGGGTCCAGACAGCCCCACACTTGTGGCCAGTTCAAAGACTTGACTTTGGAGTTTTAGGAAGTAAAGGTCTGGGAATTACTAAAAAAAAAACTTTAGCCATTGTAACTTCT